CATTTGTGCTGTAAAACCATAGGAGGGTTAAAGGAATCTTTTGTCAACCTGTGCTCAAATTTATTCGCTCTTTCGCCATAATTACATGAATCGAGTTTTGGGATTATGTAATTTACGTCTGGCCTTCCCATACCTGACATATTGGAAGGAGCGAGACTGCTTGCCGTGGCCGTAAACGGTGATGGGCTGGTCCTGCAGAGCTTGCAAGATGAAGTTGCTGACCACCCGGCCGTCGTTCATGTGCATGCGGGGGCCAAAGGTGTTGAAGATTCTCGCCACCCGCACGTCAACTTTATCCTACAGGACGTTAAGTGAACAAAACATGTCCGGTTCCCACAAAATGAGTATTAAACAACTTCTCAGTAGTGTTGCATTAGGAAGAGCAACCGGAACTCTTTGCTTTGATGCACCGCTCCGTTTGAGCTTCTTGATGGAAATGGACATCAAGTGGGAGCGAAAAACAAGATTCCCCATTGAGGCCTTTACATGTATCGCAAAGTACGTGTAGCTCCGCTGACTGGCGGCTCATTTGTTTGATCGGCTCAAAAATGAGAATCCAAGATTTTTTTCACCAAATAGTTTTGGTGTCTGGGTCATGTGCCACATTTAGTTTGCAACACTTTCTAATATACGGACACTGCCTTCATCCGCATTACAGGAAACTCATAAACATGTGTATAATTTCTACAGCTATTATCACGTTGCATGAAATTTGCATTTGTAAGGTTATCGCAATTTGCTGTTTTCCGTTATCATAATCACCAGATCCACTGGGAGAAAGCCGTGGATTAGCATCTCAGGTGCCACGGCCCACAACGTCTTTTCACTTTTGTTTCCTCCTGTTGCTACATGTATTTTAAATGCTAACTAAAAATCCTACACTTTCTTCTCGCAAATTATCTGTCATCCGGTAATTTTGAAAAACTTGGCTGGTTGAAGGGTACGGTGCGTATAACTGACCTGTAATTGATACCGTATGTTTTGCAGGTTTGCATAATTGGATAACACATTTTTTTCACTCTGACTTTGTATTTTCTGCGCCAGAAAAACATGTGTACATGTATATGTAAACCCTAAACAGCCCCGACTTCTTCATTAGCCTATGACTTTTTTTTGCACATGACACAGGGAAAAGGGTTAATGACCCAACTTGACCTTTTGTGACCTTTACCTGCTTGGCATAGGCGTAGCACATGGTCTCGGCCACCCTCTTGCCCTCATCATAGCACGCCCGGGGCCCGATGGGGTTGACGTGGCCCCAGTACTCCTCAGTCTGGGGGTGCTCCTGGGGATCTGCAACCCCAAAAATCATGCCGAAAATTTGGGTGTCTCTGGCTTTTTTTAAAACCCTCTCGCTAGAAATAAAAATTCACAGGTCGTGTAACGTCATCGGATTGCACAAAAGGAGTCTTAAGGTCACATTTGTCAGCTTTTCTTTTTCAGTCTGCATTGTGAAGACCGCAAACTGAACCGGTTGTGATATTTAGCGTCAACACGAACAAGTTGCGTCAACAAAGCGTCAACAACTTAAAAATACCTCTAAAGATTTAAAGTGGTTTTATCATATTTTAGAGACTCTATTATCTACTACTGAGGAAGAGAAACAGCAAATGTGCTTCCAGATTTGCGTAGGAAAACAACAAATTTTCACTATGTATCGGGGCTGCCATCTTTCTTTTCTATGCTGTCCATGCGAAAACAAGATGGTGGCCAGTTGGGCTGAGTGAACAGACCTGACTTTATCGCTCAAATTTCCACCCTAAAATACCATTTTAGATAAATCTGATACATTGAATTTGATACGTAGGAGCCCAATTTATTTAGTAAATATAGCATTTTTTGCATAAATATGCTTGAATAACTTGTTGAGACTTTGTCAAGGCCTGTTGACAGTAAATAGCATGACCCAACTAAACTGTTCAGGTTGACAGCTGTTTCGTTTATCATTCAGTTTGGCATCCTCATGAAAATGGACATTACATGTATCTGGGTGGAAAAAACTGACAGCCCCTATTGATTTCCTTTAAGATTCTCTTAAAGGCCTTTTACTCAAACGTGGCTCTGCTGTCTTATTAGGTTGGGTCACTGATGAAAAACCCCACAAAACCTTTTAGGCTTTCTCCTGTGATAGGTTTTCAAGCGGCTACAGCAGTGCTCTGAAGCATCAAAAAGGCGAGGGCAGTGAAGCATAACAGAAGTGTAACAAAAGCAAGCCTCACTTGTGCAACCCCTACATTTACATGTGTGGAAACAAAAATCCCCATAACTTCACATCTGCAGGACGAGCCAGTTTTCTATGCATTCAAATCATATGTTGCACTTATGCAACTTTGTAATCTGTCATCAAATAGCTCATAAGAGAAGGGTTTGGAGTTGCTCACAATGGGAGTAACGTACACTTCAGAACAGCATTTGTTGAAAAACACTGTTCCAGCATGCACCTGGAATGTCTGCACACACACAAAAGATAACAACTGGAACACTGAAAAGCTGCACAGGACTTGGTGTTGGTTTTTTTTTTAAACTGCAATGTCATGAAAAAAGTGGAGAATCAGTGAACGAAGGAAAAGCATTCAAAGCCTGATGATTATAGTGTTTGAAAGAATGTACAGGACTTTGACAGACACAGCCAAACCAGCACTGTTTTAAATGGGGTTTGGATGCCCCTGGGAAGTTTAACCGTAAAGAGTGTGCCGCTATTTCCTGAGCTCGGACAAAGACGAAGCTTGAGCCAGAGGGGTGTCTGGGTATCCTTTGAACATGCTGAAGGTCGTTTTGGACATCTCGATTTATTATGCAAAGCACTGGAATGGATTTCAAAAAAACTTGGGAAACTCAGGTTATCTGTTATTCAAGTATTCTGAACCCAAAAGAGGCAATTATTCTTGAAATCTAGTTAAATTGAGCAAGACACAGCCAATTTTAAATACCAAATTCTCAATTCATGTCTGAAGTCTGTTGAGAGGACAAGTCTTACCCCCGTACACTTCGGAGGTGGAAGCCTGCAAGATCCTGGCGCGGGTCCTCTTGGCTAGGCCCAGCATGTTGAGCGTCCCCAGGGAGCTGGTCTTGATGGTCTTGATGGGGTTGTACATGTAGTGGGGCGGGGAAGCCGGACAGGCCAAATGGTAGATCTGATCCACTGGAGAAGAGGAGAGGTGAGAACATCCGTCAGTGAAATGCAGGCTTTCAAGCCCTAAGAGTCCCTAATCCTCCAATGTCAATATCCCCCTGGAGGTAAGAGTGTCTGCAACTGAACCTAGAGTCCCAGATGCAGTACTGTGGTAAAGATTCCTCGAGACCACCATAAAACCATAATAGTCATGACCTACATGTATTCAATTAAACTGGAAGAAAAACATTCCTTTGTCACTGCTCACCCCATTACTGGTGACTAGTCTTCTAAGTTTCTAAGGTTCCCAAATTCTGCGTAAAACCTAGGCTCAACGAGATTTTACGAAGGGGAATGCAGAGTACACATAGAGAGTACAAATGAAAGAATTCAAGAACGAATTCAATTTTACTTCACGAACGCAATCAGCCATTGACTTTAAAACATGTATTGTTGGCTCATAAATATCTAAAGTGGATAACTATATGTATGCATAAAATTCACCTTCTATAAGAAGTGGCTCCACGACATCGTGATTGATCAGTTCAAAATTGGGGTGTCCCACCCACTGTTCGATATTGCGTTTGCGGCCTGTGAAGAAGTTATCCACCACGGTGACCTCGTGACCTTCCATCATCAGGCGGTCGGTGAGGTGGGAGCCCACGAACCCAGCTCCGCCGGTGATCTGCGGAGTGTCCAAAAGGTAACAATCGGTGATTCAGAGTGGTGGACCATTACGCAATCACCGGGGTGCTCCATCAAATGTGTGCCTAATAGCTTTGACAGACCATGTTGGAATGTCGTGGCTACGGCTCCGAATAAACTCGTCTGTGGAAGCCACAAGCTAGAGGCTCCTTGGATTTCCCACAGACGTCATCATCAAGCCATGGCCTAGAAATCTGAACTCAACCTTATGCGGGAGTGCAACAGTCCCAAAAGTACACATGTCTTCAGCAAACCAGCGCTATGTACTGATGAGTGTCTACGGCGCAGGTTGTTCGCATGATAGAACGGCGGTCGTTGTTGTACAGGTAAGCACCGCTGTCATAAGCTGGTAAGTACATGAATACAGTTATCTCCGTTTCCCTCGTTTTAAATTTTCCACAGGAATTCACTTCTGCAACTTGAGAGATTTCGCATTTCACCCTCTTGCGATCAAATGTAACTTGCAGAGTTTGCCACTTGTTCTACCTGTGGCATCCGATGGCCATGTACATGTGCATCGCAACCGTGACCCCCATTCTATCCCAACAGGCACTGCAGTAGAAAGTGTGATATTCTTACCTCATCACTGCCAAAAGGTTGTTATCTAAGAGGGTAATTCAGCCAGTTTCTGAACTGAAGGACAGATGGTGTATAAATTACAGGTGTGAGTTTTACACCATGTACATCCAACCTCTAGCATTGCAGAGTTTTGTGCGATTTCTGTAGGAAGCCTTGTGTAACACTGTCATACGTACATGTACATGTATTTCCTGACACTCAACTCACCAATATCCTCTTTCTTTCACTTTCTGGTAGATAGCGGACTTCTGGGTACTTCTTCATGGTCCTGAAGATGGAAAGTACACCAGAGAATTTCATTAATCTCTTAAATGTACCCCGATTGTCTAAATTAACATGCTGCACGTACAATCACTGACATTATGTCTACAGGTCTAGTGTGCTACAGTCACCACAGTTTAACAAAAATCCAAACCAAGTATTTGCCTTGACAAGACTAGGTGTACCAGGCACACCTGGTAAACGGCAAAAATAGCAACTGGTAAAGGTACAATGTACATGATGATCAGTGGACCACTCAGAGTTTGGCTCTCCATCATGAATATGTATGAGGTATGATAATATACATGTATGTACCTTATATGACACTGGCTGTGACCTGTTATGCTTAGCAAATATTTGAAGTGCTCCACAGTTTCATGAAATTCACCCCAGCACAGCTACATACATTTGTACAAGTACTTGTCACTATAGGTAGTAACTCCTTGTAGAGTACACGGAATGTACACATGCGTGGTTACAGCATATGACCACTGCATTTTGAAACTGAAAGTTTAGCACCTGAAGGCTGAATTTTCAATTACACAGCTGCTTTTGTTTTCATAATACCAATGGCCAGAATAGACGTTATAACGTGAGGCACTGCACTGGATGCCATTTAATAATTCAAAGCTTTTTCCTGTTGATACACGCGCGTCAGCGTGACAGGTGCATTTCCAAACATCATCTAAATTGTTTACATTATCTAGAAAAATGGAACAGGAGTACACCTGCACCCAGAAAAAATTGTTTGTCAGGATATATTTTTGGAGTGGATACTTTGTTCTCGACTGCCACTTCTGTTTTGAAAATGCCATTGAAATTTGCAGCTAAGACAGGTGACAGAAAATTATGGGCATAGTTTGGTGTTTTCCTCCCAAACTCCTCACGTTTGGGAGGGCAACCATGGGTTGAACATATTTAACCCCCAACCCCAATCTCTATGCTGACAAGTAGATGCAGGGAACTTCCTGTGTCACTGTGTACAATACAATTTCAAATGAGTGTGATGGTTGACGGTATTTTCAAGCTACTTACTGTTTTTCCAATTCAGTCAATCTCTCCTGAAGCGGCTGGATCAGCTGAGAGGGAGAAACAAATGGAATATTTCCATTTAGCATGTTTAGAATCAAGAGTAACTTCCAACAGCAAATGTTTACGTGGCTACCAGTCCTCTCATTTGTAAATCAAATCAACGAACCACAAGAACTACAGTTGGATAGTTTAAACTCAACAAACGTGGCACAACTCACAATTGGGTATGACTCAAAGCTAAATGTCCTGCACATATAAATGCAGCTTACATGTAGTTTTGAATGGTTAAAGAGCATTTCTAAGGAAAATATGTTTTGTCTGATTTTATCTGTTCATGCATGTAGCCATTGTTTGGCATGCAAAAGGGCTTATCCACAGGGCGAGGGTTCCCCTCGTTTTCTCTGTATGACGCGATATACACTCAGAATTCATATCTTCGCATGAACAGAAAAAAGTCCATTTAAGCTTATTATAGTTGAGCTCTGGAGACAAAGGACGCTGTGTTTGATTTGGATGCTTCCACATTTATTTGAACAGATAAAATCAGAGAAAATATATGTTTTCCTTAGAGGTGCTTTTTAATATTCGATGTTTATTGATTATGGGTAAACACTGGAACAAAATTTAAAACAAAAGAGGAAAAGAAAACATGTTTGCACATCTCACAAATCTTGACCTCTGTATCAATCTTGAAAAATATTTACCGGTACATGTTCATGCATATTCATATGGATTCTGAAAAAGATGCACAAGAATATTGCCTACTGCACGATATGCGTGGTTGAGTACAAATGGTACACTGTAATTGTACATGTAAAAATATTGCACAGGTGTGGAAAAGCACCATAAAATCATCCCAAGCAAACATGCATACCAATATGTACCAGTGCATGTACAAAATGTACAGCACATGTAACATGTGGTTGTGTACAAATGGTACATTGTAATTGTACATGTAAAAATATTGCACAGGTGTGGAAAAGCACCATAAAATCATCCCAAGCAAACATGCATACCAATATGTACCAGTACATGTACGAAATGTACAGCACATGTAACATGTGGTTGTGTACAAATGGTACATTGTAATTGTACATGTAAAAATATTGCACAGGTGTGGAAAAGCACCATAAAATCATCCCAAGCAAACATGCATACCAATATGTACCAGTACATGTACAAAATGTACAGCACCTGTAACTATTCCACCTCCCCCATACAGAATACATGTAGCTCAATGGGCCCTTTTGTTTGGCCAACCCACCAAATCTGTCATTTTCAAATCCTCTGTGTCAGCAAAACAGTGTCAACACCATGAATACCCAGAGACCCTCTTATGCCACCACTATGTTTTGTTGCATCAAAGCCATTCCCTCTGCCCAGCATGCCAGTGCATGTCCATGTATTTTAGTTATGTAACGGCGGACGGGCATGTACAAAGCATGCACAGTACAGTCACGCACACACAATGTTCCTGCCTCCATGTTCCTGCATGGCTAAATACACGTATCTCACTGCCTCTTTAGAGGCCGTTATGTTTGTGCATGTACCCCTGTGGTGTTCATCCACTCTCAGATGGTAAACACCAAATTAAAATTACAAAATGCTTACTTCCCGCTTCAGCGCGCCTGCCCTACCTTTTGCAGTTGAACCTGCACACCTTCCCCGAGATCTTTCACCCATCTGTGAGACAAAACAAACGGACAAGCAAAAAACAAAAGATGGTTAACCGGAAAAAAAAGGTTTGTTAAAAATGAGTCTCCTTAGCATAAACATCACATTTAATTGCAGTTTCTTGTTCGGCCGCACAGGAGATGTTGAACAGCTACATACATGTAAGAAAAATGAATGTTCTAAATCTAACCTTCAATTTGAAACAATTTCATTCTAGATCACTAAGATTTGAGTATATTTACCTTCCCTTTGCCAGAAAAAAAGTTAAAAACTGCCTGTCTATTCCAAGCATAAATTTAAAACTAATTGTCCTTTATGCTTTATGAGTGTGTCTCCATTCCCTCCAATATTTTGGAAAGGAATTATGAAGAGTTATTCACAGCTGTTCAAGATTTCCTTGAAAATATAAGGTGTAAATGTTGTACTTCAGTAAAGCCTGTCCAAAATTGCTCTTGGTGTGTCTTTGACTCAGTCAGTGACCTGAAAACTTCACACAACAGAAGTTGCTTCTCTCGCCACTCCTTGGGGAATCCCCCTTGCAATGTTCCATGCTTTGTTCCATTCACCCTCGACATGTTTACTGCATCTTTTAAGACCCCCCCCAATAAAATGTTCTATTGGTATCAGAGAAGCAGTCTTCTTTGCATCCACAGATTACCAAAAGCCTTGCCTCTGTTCTTGAGATAAGTTCATGCCACTTCTCTGAGCATGTTCTACACACGGAGCATTGGCTCTCTTGAATACAAAAATTGGACAAATCACTAAACGTGTGCTCATTTCCCCAAACTGGTACCTTGAATCTTCTTCGCCTCGGGTGCCACACAACAAACCTGTAAGATAATTGCAATGATGAAAACGAGACATTAGTCTCAAATATTATTTCAAAGCTTATGATGTTCAACGGCATGTAAGACGAAGAGTTTCTCAAATGTCACGGAATCCATGGCAAAAAGTCCACTAACTCTTCTCTGGAGAACTTTGTTGCATGTTGCATACGTGAAAGTCAACTTTCAGTACAACGTACACAAACTGAGCAACTGCAAAGTTACTGAAGACCAGGTCAACCTCTGCAAAAGTAGAAGCCCTGAATTACAACATAGTGGTAAATGTACATGTATGTTTCATAAAAACTACTGTAGTTAAATACATGTATATCAAGCTTATCTCAAGAAGCTATTTTTGTAATCTTCACAGTGAACTTCCACCTTTGCCCAGCAAATTGAAGCCAATTTATACCGAGTACGGTATTTCCCATTTGATAATCACGGCAATTCTCTGCCCCCCCCCCAAAAAAAAAAACACAAGGAAGGAAAAATGGGCCTTTACAGTACTGCAGTTGCCCCAGTGAACATTCCGGCAACATGCCCTTTGCCACACTCTGGCTCAGAGCATGAGATGTTTCTGACAGTTAATTTATTTTTTTTCAACTACCCCAAACCTGCTATACTCCAATAGTAAGTTTGTGAGGTTTTGGCAGGTTTGGTACCGTACCTGATGAACTTCTTGTTGAGGTTTGTGAGACTGGGGATGAAAGGCCCAGGGAGATGGTGTTGTTGGATTCTCTGTGAGTTGGGACACACAGGGTTCATTGTGTGCAGTGTTTGGCTTGCTGTACCAATTGTTGGACTATGCCTATGCCTAAGTCATGCTATAATTTTGTACTGCATAGACCAATCCATACCATATCATTCAAACTCCAACAGAGTCATTTTATTGGAGTTTATTAGGTTTGGTACAGTGACCTGTATGTACGAGTACATAGACTAGTACATGTAGGCCTACATGTATCTGTTGGATTTTGTGAGGTTCAGTATGCTTTCTAGGGCAAGAGCCTAGGGGGTTAGGGTTAATGGAAAGAAAAGCAGGCCACATTTGGCTGGAGACAGCTCATGTAACCTCCACATGGCAGACAAAAACAGTCAGAGTCTGGCCACACGCCACACTTGTTGTCTAAATGTACCCTCTGTGGGCTTAAAGATTCAATTTTAATCTTGTGATTGTCCTCCAACCCAACCCGTTTTTGACAAGTTTTACCATTTGTAATACGAAGCTAAACCCTTAGAGCTTCCCTGAAAGGCAAATTTTAGTGGGTTCTGAGAGTGCAATAATTCCACTTTATGAATGTAACACTTGCTGCCTGAAATCTCATAAAACGAAGAACTTTCATGACTTTGGCGCACATATCACGGAAAGAAAGGCCTGTGGACGTACTGTATGTAGTGAGATTCGTGAGAAAAGTTTCTTGAAAAGACAGCATTCAAGTCTTACAAGAGTACTTTTCTGGTGGGGGAGGGAGGGAGTGTTTGTCGATCTGCTTATTTGTTTTTCATCGTCAACCCAACTCAGAGGGCACAATTCAATATTTTCACAAAGACAGAATACTGTACCAATGACCCTGTGACCCGTCTGAAAAATACTGGTACCAGTTTACATGCAGATAGCGCCCTACAGTTTACATACATACATACATCTCTTTTCTGTGGTTTGGGAAATCTCTTTTAATATGGCATGCCGGAAATGGGAATTTCAAGATGGAAACTGGTGGAATAAATTTCAGAAAACTGGACATGTAATGTAGTTCATGACATACTCACGACATTACATAAATGGATCGTGGAGGAATAAGACATTACAACTGTGGCAATAAACTTGTACATACATGTATATGTACTGTATGCAACATTTATGCATAATAAAATATCAAAATCAATAAATACATGTACAATGTACATTGTACCTGTCCAGTTTACTGTACAGCACTTGTATACATGATGTAGGTGGAACAAATATTCATTTCATTATGCCATGTATGCTCGTATTGGTCCTTGTGCAAAGTACATGTAAATATCGTCAGGTTTGGAAACAATATGCTGGGACCAGCCAAAACATATGTACCAAATTCTTGTCATAAAACAAAAGCACAACAATTCAGGGACGTGAGACTACAGAATTCGTTTTTTATAATATCAGTACGTGTGCGTGTATGCGAACTTGTTTGCTACGAGAATGTTACATGTATATCAAGCGCAGTCTACTCATGAAATGCTGAATGCCTGTCCAATGAATACACTGTACATGTATATAGGCCCCCTACATGTACCCGTACACATGTGCGAAGTACATAACACGTAAAGCACGTACCGTGTACACCTGTACACTGTCATGATGCGCTGACGACACAAGTCTGCACTGTAGACTGGGTAGACATTTTCTGTCTGGGGTCATGCTATTTTGTATCAACAAGCGTCAATGGGCATCAACAAGTTATTCAAGCAATAAGCATAGTTGTGCAAAAAATTTATAATTTACAACATTAATTAGGTTCCTACATGTAATGTATCACGTTCAATGTATCACATTTATCTGAAATAATATTTGAGTGTGGAAATTTGAGTGACAAAGTTGGGCCTGCTCGTGCGGCCCGACCGGCTGCCATCTTGTTTTCGCATGAACGGTAGAGAGAAGAAAGATGGCGGCCCCCATACGTTGTGAAAAATTTTCATTTTCCTGCGAGAATCCAGAACCAAATTTCTGTTTCTCTTCCACAGTGGCAGGTGTTAGAATCTTTAAAGTATTATAAAAACCATGTTTAAATCTTTAGAGAGTATTTTTAGGTTGCTGACAGTTTGTTGATGCTACTTGTGTGTGTTGACATTTGTTGACGCTAATTAGCATGACCGTCTGTCTGTGGATGTGTTATGCCCTAAATGCAGTGTAAGTAGCCTACATCTATTGCAGTTGGCACGGTTGGGACAGTCCCAAGTACGGTGCTGCAGTTGAGCTAGTCCACAGAGATGATGTATGAATGTACATACATGTACATTTAATAGTGAAGTCGTGTCTCAAGCCTATCCGGTTCTGAAATGACATCACACACAAAAACGCACCACTGAGTGCAAGCTCCAATTGGACGAACGCATTAACTTCCAGTTCTGTGGTTCCTTGTACATGTACCTGTAACCATGTGCAGTGGGTGTTGTCTAAACTGAAGTGATGTCGCACCTACGAACCGGATTCTTTTAACTTACACAAATTTGGCCCCATAACAGGGGAACACGTTGCTTGATTTTAAAAGCCACTCTGTCATGTGCTTACGTGCTCTGGTCTGAAGTCAACTAGTGCATCAAGCCTTTTATTTGACTGACGACGTCATCGGACTCACTGTCAAAATGTGCATCACATCTCAGTATGCATGTTTCATGTGTCCTTTCCAAACTTTACGTTTCAGTTTGGAAACAGCTCCATATACCGTATACGGACAACACATCATGCCCCTGTGCAAAACCTATGAGATTTGTCTGAAAAACCCAGGCCTACGTACGTGTGTTTTCAAATCAAATGTTTCAGAATTTTTCTAGCAAAATTTCACTTTTTGGGACATGTTATCACTTTCTCATGGCTGTTTTAAGGGAAAATTAGTGTTGTCCATAGCCTATATGGAACTCTTTCCTTCTGTTAAATCATCATATCACTGCAGTCGCTGCGTGCTTTATAATCAGCAAAATAGATTGGCCTATACTAGGCCTACATAGTAATGCACTGTAGGCCAAAGGGCCTAGTCATGTTATGTTTCGACAAAAAACATCCGAGTCATGTCTACTTCGATCTCATTTGTCATTCAATAGGGCCTATGGTTTCACATATTGCAGTATTGACTGTGGGACGACTCATTAACGATACTGACCGAAAAGAACAGCAAAAACCACCCCGATGATCAGGGCCAACCGAAAGCGCTTCATGCACATCGCCACGGAACTCCAGCTGAAAGTCATGCGGCCGCTTCCCGGGACCAACCTCCGGCGAGTGGTTGCGGCGGCGGTGCGTTCGCCCTCTCCCGCTCCCCTCGCCCGGCCGCCAGTGCCGGGATCCTGCCTGGACTCCGTGGCAACGGATTGAGTTCAGAGGCGCCTTTGTCTTTTTCGGTTTATGCTGCAGCCCAATCCACACAGGGTGGATTACAACACTAGTCCAACATGAAGGCCGGCCAAGTCAAACAAGAAAGTGTACAGAGCCTCCAAACCGTAATCTTCAAGTCAATATATACCACTTCATGGTCGCCCACGAGGATAATCGTGATCGAGGAAATAAATACAATGTACAAGTACATGTACACGTATAGTTTGACCTAAGTTCTTACGTCTACGCGCGTACGCGTAGCCGTGTGTCCCCGAAATCGCCCAACATAAAATAGCCGTTGGCCGACCCCACCGATTGATTTCTCCAGTGGAAAAAAAAATCAATAAACTAAAAGAAGTTTAGTTGACATAACTTACTGCTTTCTGAACTCATGTCTTTGATATCGCCGTTTGTTAAATCTCCTGTCTTGTCTGTCATACTGCAAGATGCTCGTGATTCAGTACAGTGATACTGAAAACTGTATAGCAGCAGGACATTCAATGCACTGGGCGTAGACTAGTACGGGTATGACATACCATACGGACTCTGCCATGCGTAACATCTCATATTATCCTTACTCATTCAAGCGAGTCCTTGGCTTGGGGCAACAATCTCATCCATTTTAGCTCCATGATCTCGTCTAGTCATGGTAAAGATCTTGTGCACCGTATCTTTTCATTAGCATTCAACTGTTTCCCCTTAAGGGGCTTAAAGATTCACCGGCACCGCCTCATCAGCCTGTTGCTCTATGGCCCCAAAACAGTAGCAATCTTAATTGATTCACTTTAATTTGCATTTTGTAGGCTGTGTATCTGTTCATTTAATAAAAGCCAATATTATTTTAGGGGACGAACTACAAAAGTCTTCCAGAAGGCCTATATAGCCACTTAAGGCAGCAATTTTTTTTGTTGTTTAACTAGGAAGTGCACGCCCACTAAATGCAACTTAATTGGCAGGAACATTATGCAAATCAGCTGGTGATGCACTGTACCTATTTCCCACTGCATTTTCATTGATTACGGTGGTACTTGAAAAACAACTAAATATTCATACATTTATATGGCTTCAAGAATTTGAGCCGGCGGTTAGGTATGCCAACCCGCGTTTAGCGCAAACGTAAAATGAAGCCCGAGTTCTCTGAGGTTATTCGGGCACATCAATCATGCATAGCACGTGCGAAGAAGTATTTTGTTCTCGAATGGCCTTCCTACAGACGTACAGACTAAAGGGTGTTTTTCACTTTGCCCATTTACCACTTCGCCCATTTGCCACTTCGCCCATTTACCACTTCGCCCACGTGCCACTTCGCTCATCCCTGTCCCAAGAGTCATCCACCCGGTACCACACACTGAATTAAGATTTCGCGTGGTATGTGCACGCCCTATAGTAGTTTCACGAGCAAGTAGGCTTGTGATTAACCGACAAGCCTCTTCATCGTTTCAACCGGTTTATTGCGTGTAACTTTGCTGATACACTAATCAAACTCAAGACTTAGACACAATAAAAGCACTTTCAAAAGCGTGGTAATTTCTGTCACAACGCTCTGAAGTTCAGTTTTGCAACAGCTACTGTGTGGGCACTGAGACCTCCTGAAAGACGAAAAATTAAACTAATTGATGCTTGAAGACGACTCTAATTCTGCATAGAGCAAGGATTATATCCCTGAAATATTTCGGAAGTTTCTGATAATGTCATGTCAGTTTTTGAGTGTACAAGGCCTCCTCGACTTGGTTCTCTGCCTGAGGCTCGCTATGTGCCTGCGCAGCGCCGGCGCCCGGGCCGCTTTTAGCTTTGCATCGGCTCAACGTCAAAGAAAACCCTGACTGTCTCAAAATCCACTTCTTGTTAATTGGTTAATCCTTTATCTTTTCTGGCATTCAGGATGAATTTTCGAGGGATTGAGCAGTTGCTTTTCTGTCTTCCTCTCCTTTCAATGATGTTCAAGTTGACAAAAGCAGAGCAGAAGGCGAAGTGACGTGCCGCGAATGGCAAATGGACGAAGTGACAATTAGGTGAAGTGGTTGTGGGCGAAGTGGTAAATGGGCGAAGTGACTATAAAACATTGTGCATCTGCCGTTATTTGGAGCTAGGTCTATAATGCCCTTACGCAACGAAATATAAATTACCCCATAATATAAATTAACATCTCTCCAACGCAAAGTACATCTTGAAAATAGATCTTCACTCCATAAAAACACGCAAAGACACACAAACAATAGACCTAGCCGTAGCTCTAAAAGCCCATTTCAGACAAGGCCTCATTTACATTATTGAACGAGCCTAAATAGCTCTCAGATTAGCCAATCAAAGCTTTTGTTAAAAAGGCGGTCAACGTACAGCGCCATATTCAATTCTTCACAGTGGCCGGATTTTTGGAGACTTTGAGTAAGTTTGTACCGCTATTTGTACTGTTTGGCCGTCAGAATTGTATTTTTTTTTTTCGATTTGATGTGTAATGTGGATTCATGCTTCAAAACAGTTTTCACAAAATAGTTTTTCCAATACTCAATATTCTGTTTTAAGTTTGTTTGACTGCACACAATAATTGACATGCATGATGACGTACAAACGTGTCCTACATCATGTACGTCGTTCGTTCGCCCGATCGTCATGATGTCGTACCCCCAGAACTGTGGGGGTCTGCCCCCCTCCCACGGGCGGACGTCAGTTAGACCCCAAATGTAATGGCAAGGGCGATCATATTGGCTGCTGGCATTTCAAATTTTATTTTCCCTAAATCTCGTAGGAAAATTACATCATTATCATGTGATCTGTTAAAAATGACGTCACTGCCGTTTGAACCAGTGACATAAGCAGAAACAAGGGACTTCGCTAGATTGAGGTTTAGTCCCAACCTGATCGTGTGTAACATTAAGGTTAGCATTCTCATGGTCAGGATGACATCACTGAGTCTTGGTTCTTCCCTCTGATTGGATTGGTCAGTTGGTGGCTGTTCCATATTTCATGCTTGGGACTCAAAGGGGCCAAATGGTGTTGTCCTCTATGCCTGGGAAAATCTGAATTATTGACCATACTCTTAACCTTTACACCAAATAGGGCCCTGGGCATTTTACTTATTTTTATCACGTTGCAGCAAAAAACGGGAAAACATACAAATCCCTGTATAAGAAAGTCACATTTTCTCACAATTTACAATTTGAAATTTCAAAAAAACAGAGTCAGCGCAACAAAAAGAATGTTGCCTTTCTTTCTAGAGGGACTTATCAGTTTTGCAAGATTGAAATGACACAAAACTGGGAGGTCCCAAAGTATACAATCCCCAAGTGAAGGGAGGGTTCCCCCTTAATACCTAGACGTCAAACCAGACTAGGCAGACATAAGTGCGATAAATGGAATAACCTTCAACCGCTAGAATGTCTAGAAAAATGGCTGAGGCACGGCAGCAGATTTCGACCATGTTGACAGATGAGCACTGGTCACGTGCTAGTGAAGTGAAACGTTGAGTGGCCCTCACTGTGTCGGTGTTCAGCGCAGTCTTTGAAAGTGTGCAAATTGGAAACTTAAGCAATTGAGCCATTTTACGTGAGCAATTTATATTTGTGCTTGGGCCTGTTTGAAATAGAGACAGTCAGGGTCATGACAGTACAGGCATGGAGGTAGGAAAAGACGTCCATGGCACAGGTGCACTCTTTGAGGGTGTGCAGTGTTTCTGTGGGCACAGTGGGCCATACCTGCCTCGAACCGTGGGATTTTTGTAGGGAGTCATGGTAAGCGTCCGGCCCGGGGAGCAAACTATTTTTACAAAACACGCTCTGGAAACCTGTGAAAGTCCAATGGTGCTACTGAAATAAAGATTTCAGTCATGTCAGTGGGAAACTGCATGTATATTGTTATTATGAATTAGCTTACTTATTATCACGAGCAGCTGATGAACATATTCATTATTACTTGTGTATTACGACTGACTGAAACAGCCATCTTCCTGTTGGGAGTGAAGGTCTGGTTACCTGCCGGGCACTGACACAGGTGTCAAAGTCTTTTAATAATATCCAAGCATTTAAAGGTGCTGACATATTATCATTATCCTCGCACAGTGGGCTCACAACATCTGAACATTCCTGAAACCATCTCAGCTCCCTTAGGAGTATACTAGCCCGATGCTGCCATATCGGTGCCAATGGCTGAACACAACCATATCTGCCCTCACATGTACCCATTCTTGTAACCTCACTGTTTACTCAGTTAGAACTTGCCCACTGGATATTTGTAATTCACTTTTTTTCCCCTTCCTTTTATTTGACAGTGCCTTGAGAGCATCTATTCAGCATAATTCAAAATGGATGGACCGGTAGATGAACCAAATCAACCAATGGAGACCGATGCCGAATCACAAGAGAATAAAGGTAACGACAGAAGAGAAAAGTGTGCCTGCATCCGCTTTCGCCATCAACAGAGCAATAGACGGAGTGCGCTCTCTGAGTCGAAAGACCTACAGTGGGTGTCATATCAACAAACATGCCCTCCTACCATAGGAAAGTGTGTTTTAAGTGTTGTTTACCAAAAATGAAGCCGTTTTTCGGTATAGTACTAAGCACATCAGTAGTCTGAGTACTTTACCGGCCGGCAGCACTATTTTGGTTAACGACACTTATGACACACTTTGCTATTGGAGGACGTCTTATTTGTTGATGTTTGATACCTACTACAGGTCTTGTGATCTAGTGGGCGCAATCGATCTATTACTTCCTGTGTTCTTCAAACTTCTGAGCTCAGCTGTGTGGAAAATGTTATTTCATGTTCCTTCATCTTGGAAATGAATGCCAAAGACCACCTTTATCTGATGTCTTTCCAGTTTATATCATACACGGCTCACTCAAAAGAAGGTCGAAAACTGGACTTTTCTGTTGCTGATTGTGTATAAAAGGTCAAAGGTACACTACGCTTGTATAAACTGGGTGATTTAACAAATTTAAGACTGAAACAAGTCCTAAGCATGACTTCATTTATTCCCTCCCCCAAGAAAATGAGCCTTCTCCAAGCCAGGCTGGCATTCCTCAAACCAAAAGTCCCGAAGCACCCATGGACACTTCCCAGACCAGCGTCGCCAAAGCGCCATCTCCGGACGAGCCCAGGCTCATGATTTCCAAGATTGTTACCGAAAACTTCAAGTCCTATGCCGGGAAGGTCTCTCTTGGACCATTTCACAAGGTAGTTCAAGGACCCTAAATTGTTTGAACACCTGTAATTCTCAGAGCAAACTCTCTTTATCAGGTCTTGAAACTTTGAATGTACTAATTAAAGATCTGCTTATGGCTATGGTTTTGAGAACTCACAAAATAGTTACCAAGTACTCTTGGCAAAAACTAATGGCAGGTGAAGTCCTGAATACATAAAGGTTGACAACCAAAGGAAAATCTTCTACCATATGGGATATTGAATGTGTTTGGTATTTTAGAACTGGAACATTTTTAACATAATTACTTACACTGTTGTGACTGTACAAGTATTTGTCATTTGTATCAAATTTTGGAAAGATTGCAAACCATTGTATGGCTACCGGTGTAATAAATAAGAATTGTTTTCAAGATTGCCAGAGTTTGCTTTGTTTTCTGACAATCTGCCCCGATCGGCAAAAGGAGGACAGGTGGTTACAGGCACCCTCTTTTTTTGTTCCGCTCAGAGCGGATTACATTTAAATCATTGCTGTGGCATTTACATGTAACTTCACTGGACTCATTCCAAGCTTTGCTGCAGTTCGTCTTGTTTCAACTAATCCTACTGCCTTCACTGACTAGTAAAATTTCACGCTTGTGATCTTTCCATTTGAAACTTTGCCACTTTTCCCTCCAGAGTTTCTCTTGCATCATCGGACCCAACGGGAGCGGCAAGTCCAACGTGATCGACTCCATGCTGTTTGTGTTTGGCTACCGTGCCGCCAAGATCCGCTCCAAGAAGCTGTCTGTCCTAATCCACAAGTCGGAGCAGCACCAGAACCTGACCAGCTGCTCCGTGGCGGTCCACTTCCAGAAGATCATCGACACTGGGGTAACAGCCTTGGCCTGTTGCATTGATGTCTCAACTTTCTGTAAATTATTGCCGACAGCATTCAAGAATACGTACCGAGGCATCATACATGTACGCTAGAAACATCCAAGTACGCACACAGCCTCAGAAATACTTGTCTCCGTCGGACTGGGAAAGTCAGGTGTTTTTTCTGGATGTCAGCATTTTTTTAAGAATTAGAATAATAGGTTTAATCTTTCAACCCTTGCTACATGTACTTATTTGCACTCTGTATCATAATAACCAAATGCACATTTTACATAATTGTAGCTTTTTGGGAGTGAGCATGACTTGTAAAGTCCTAAAGGCTGCTGCAGTCTTATTATTGTCATTGTTACAGTGAGATTTGTTGGGGGTTGCCCCACAGGACCAGTCCATTATTGCCTGTGTCAAAGTTCAGCTAATATTTTTACGCATATTCAAAATGACACAAACAGTAAGCGGACTGATTAGGTGTGACCAGTATGTCTGCCGCCATCAAGCACCCCAAGAGTCCCCCCATTCCTTGGCTTGACGGTCTTGTAGATTTCTTCTCCAACCCCTCGACGGTTGGGTCTTGTTATACTGAGCAGGCCTCTCATTGGACCTAAAAGATAATGATGACACGCTCTGTGTACATGTGGGCTTTCCTATGAGGACTCACTGGATCGCGGCCAACCTCACCGCCATAGGAAAGCACTCATGCAGACAAAGTATGACGTCATGTTACAGGTCACTGGATTTAACTATTCAGCAAAACTTTCAGCCTAGATAGTTCCAAGGATCAGCTCGGTGATACTGTTAAAATCAAGTTGTCAATCTTCTGTAACCTGGGTCTAATTTCACGGTACTGCTTAGCACACAATTTCATGCTAACAGAGGCGCCAAGTGTTTCTCGGAGACTGTAAGCAGTAAGCACAGCCAATGGTATGCTTACCTTAGAGGAATACTTTGCTTGAACTTAGCGGCTGTGAATAGAAATCTCTGTGCGCGCCCAGCCTTTAGCACCACAACGCCAAGCACCACCATAAAATAGTGCTTAAGGTTAGCAAATTTTTCTGCTAAAGTTGGCACGACTTTTCTGCTAACTTTTAATTAAACATCTCCGTGAAATTGGCCCCAGGTCATTAATAAGTGAATCATTTTCCCATCAATATAGCCTGGTGACAATGACTACAAGGTGGTGCCTAACAGTGCCTTCGTAGTTTCCCGCACCGCCTATCAAGACAGCAGCAGCAGTTACTACGTGGACGGCAAGAAGGCGTCCTTCAAGGACGTCACGGCCCTGCTGAAGCTGAGCGGCGTTGACCTGGATCACAACCGCTTCTTGATCTTACAGGTACAAAGACTTTGAGTCTGCATTGTTGGTGTATTTCCGATCATCTGCAGACTCAAAGTATGACAACTGTTGTGTGAACCTCTTACAACTTTGGAAGACAGCTCGATGACCTGGGATTTACAACTTAGGTCCCACCGTACGGGAATGGCTATTAGTGATTAATTTTTCATCTGTTTCACAAGATTTGAACATACTTTTCTTTTTTGTCAGAAGTACAGGGCCAAGTTTGTTGGCTGAAATTGAAGACAGACAAACAGGTGTTTGAAAAATAGCCCTTGGCACTGACTCTATTCCCGAGATATTTGGGGAAGTTTGAAACTTGTGGCTGTTCCGCTTCAGCAACCTCCCAGGTTGCAAAACTGAACCAAATGAATTTGGCCCTGCTTCAAACAGTTTGGGGTGTCTGTAGCCAAACTAGAGAGTTTGAGACTAAAGGAAACTTAAACCTAAACAGCGAGCTGTGAACAAAGCTGAAGTAAGGAAAAAGCCTGGTGTGGAGATTTCCTCAGGATGGTTTTTTATTTCAACAGATGTCCTTCAGGAACTTTACAGCAATTTTTTTCCAAAGTCTAGAAACTCCTGACTTTACCACTGAGGTGTTTTTTTTGTAACAGTTGATATAGAAGACAAGAAATAGATATTACAAGGGGTGCCTTCATAGGATAACACCAATGTATACCACTATGCTTGTTGAAGCCTCAAAACCTCTGGTGGTCATTTCTTGGACATTTTGCATTTTCCTCGAAGTCCAATCTCACTCCTGGTTACCCTTGGTCTCAGCCACGAAGCCTTCTCATGGAAGGTCTTTCTGTTTCACCACCCACCACCCCACCCCATGAAGGGCGAGGTGGAGCAGATAGCCATGATGAAGCCCAAGGCCCAGACGGAGCACGAGGAGGGCATGCTGGAGTACCTGGAGGACATCATCGGGAGTAACCAGTTCAAGGAGCCCATCGAGGAGCTGGCCAAGACGGTGGAGCAGCTCAACGAGGAGCGGGGAGAGAAGGTACGCAGGGCAAGGGGGGATTGAGGACTGGGATCCCAGGGTCGTGGAAAATCCGGGGAGAGGGGGGACATTGTCCTGGAAAGTTGTGGAAATTTGTCGTGGGAGTCTTGCTGTCGGAGGAGAAAAAGTCATGGAAATCATAAATCTGGAAGGGTTATTTGTAATGGGTTATTTCAGATGTGATAATGGAATAAACATAAATTTCCAGGTTAATTCTTAGTCTTAGTAGTGGCTATGGCAGTCAGCCATTCTTTAAGACTAAACAGCTGTTCCCTGCAAAATGGCATTAAATATGGAAATTGTCGTATTTTAGTCCGGGAAAAGTCCTGGAATTCGTTTTACAGATTCTCTAGGAACCTTGCAATCCACTCGGATACATCCATGAGTCGATCTGAATCTAAATCCGAATAATCAGCACAGCCCCGGTTCTCTTGGCATGAAACGACTGAGAGCATGCCCTTTTTCCTCCCCGGGTAATGCCAGTACCCATTTATACTGCTAGGTAGACGGGGGTAAGAAAGTGGTCAATTGGCTTTAGCTTCCCAAGGCCACAACTCATGGTCACCTGACACTACGGTGTGCTCGCATGACTGCAAAATGACAAGGGAAAATGGGAGGCTGTGATCGTGCAGAAACTCTCATAGATTTCCTTTGCTCTGAACATGTAGCTCTTGCGCGGTGCACGGACCAGCCCTTACATTTCTGCAATAAACAACTAGGTGTTTGATCTCTCGGTTTAGTTGGGTCGTGTGAAGGCAGTGGAATCGGAGATGGAGCAACTGGAGAAACCCATGAAGGAGGCCCAGGAATTTCTCAGGACGGAGAACGAAATCACCAAGAAGAAGCACAAACTTTTCAGCAAATATGTGTAAGTCCCCCCCCAAAAAAAAACAAAATTGTCTGGAGTGGAATTTATTTTCCATTGGTGCTAATTGTTATTAGGAAAAAATCAGTATATGGGAAAACTGATTAGAAGTTTGCTCCGAAATCACTGAATGTCCGTATGCCAGTAACTGACAGCAAAGGGTCTTTGAAAACGTGTGTATTTCACACTTGACTCCTGGGTAATGTATAACCACGAAGGAACATTCCACATCCTGCAAAAGTCACTAAGTTTTGGGATGATCAAGGAAAGAAGAACCCCTACCCAATGTATTTTACACTCGTCTAGATACCGCTGGAAATGCTCAAAATATCCTGCAAAGTAGGAGACACTGTTAGATTATAGTTGATAAGTCCCTCGCGCAAACATGTCTCTGTAGGAGTCAGTGTTAGAGCGACATGGAAAATTTGTTTCGTCTGTTGCTCGTCCTTAGCCTGGACTGCAGCATAAATGAGAGGAAGTCGGAGGAGAAACGCGAGAAGGTGGCAGAAGCCTACAAGGAGATGAAGGAGGAGCTGGCCAAGTTTGCCGAGGACAACAAGGCCAAGACCAAGGACAGCAAGAAGATCTTCAGGTCAGAGGGAATAAGCCGTGATCGCTACCTGACTATTGCTGCTCTGACGGTTGTCATGTGACGTTGTATCAACTTTGCTGTTCACGTTGACAAGTTTTTCTCTTGATGAGTAGATTGCCCTGTTAAACTGTTTTAAAACCCAAATCCTCTCATATAGTTTCGTTTTTTCCAAAAATGTTTAAAATTTCATAGTAAGATGTACTAATTACTGTAGAGCCCTGATTGTGATAATAATTTGTCTTAATGCAGGACGTACGAGAAACTGTCCGAGATTGCCGAGCAGAAGAAGGCGGACTTTGCCGAGTTTGAGCAGCAGGACGTGAAGTGCAGGGAAGACCTGAAACACACCAAGGAGAAGCAGAAGAAACTCATCAAGAGCCTGCAGAAAGAGAGGGTCAAGGTGAGAGGGTCTGAAAGACGTTAAGAGGCTTCGGTGCTCGGAGATAATAATGGCTGCGTCCGATTGTCACGGCTGTGGCTGTTTGTAACACAGGCACCTATAGAAGTCACCGAGTAGCGGCTGAACCCACGCTTCATTTGTATGTGCCACCCGCAGCCGCTGCTAGCTGATTCAGCCACAGCAGAGTTGTAGTTGCGTTTCTACCACTCGTAGTTAACCCTAGCAGTCCTCAATCCTTCACCTGTTGGAGGATTGAGGACTGTTAGGGCTACATGTATGAGAAAGAAATCACAGCCACATGGACATGTGGTCATCTTTAAGTATTAAAATGAATGACGGCACTTCTGCTCCATCTTGCTCGTTATGATGACTTGAGAATAAAGCTTCTAACTCCCCCCCCAAGAATTTCCCTCCTGATCTGGTAAACTAACTGATTACTTCCTGAGGCCAATGGCTGTACATCGTCCATTCTTCCTTTTCCTCGTCAGCTGGAGGAGCTGCGAGCTGTCCCCGCCAAGAGTGAGCAGGAGATTGCGCAGCTGGAGGCCGGCAAGGAGACCCTGGAGAAGAGGCTGAAGGCAGAGGAGGCCAAGATGGGGGAGATCATGGCCTCGCTGAAGACAGAGACCCAGGACCTGCAGGCCGAGAAAGATGTAAGTGGAAACGCTATCTGTCTTGGCCACATCCCGCTGGGGGCATTTATGATGCTGGGATGGGATAATTTTCTTTTTTTTTCTGTTTTCAAAATTCTTTAAACATTCATGTCTTCATTTACTGGACACTTACAGCCACGTGAAGGACTGTCTGGTGTCTCCTCTAATCTGATAGACATCTATTGACTCTGGAGTATTTCAGCCAAGCCTGCCGCCTTATAAAAAGAGCCCAGATTGTGCGGTGTTATGTAATTTTCTTTTGTTCACGAAACTGGCACTGTGCACTGCTGACCTCTTTTCAATAGGGGCCAGATTAGCATGCAGTGGTACTGTGTGGCTCATCGCTGCGGTGGTGGAGCGCTTTTGTCCCCGGTGGTAATCCGCTTGCACTGAATGCCCCAAACTGTGGTATACTGTTTCAAAACAAGGCTTGATTATCTCCACTTTTGACAGTGAAAAAATGTTGGTAATGCCCAGCAGCCTGGTCTTTTGTTACGAGTACGGCCTTTTGTTACAAGGCCCAGTTCCCTTTATCCGATTTCAGAGACCCCGGCTACGCATATAAAGAATACGTGTCCAAAACCGGAGTCCCCGGCAGCAAGTGGTTAACCATATTCAGACTTGGCTTTCAGGAGTATGTATTCATTGGTGGGGTGACTCCCTCCCCCCCATCTGGGCTTAGCTGAATTCCATTGGAAATATATATCCTTACTACATAGTTTTTTAGGCATCTTGGCAGCACAATCACGTTTGGTTTGGATAAATCGGGAACGAGCCCAAACTCCCAATAATAATAATAATTATAATTTCTTTTAAAAGTACCCTCCATAGAAATCTTTCTCAGGGCGCTGGACATTCGAACAAAAACATCAAGAATATAAAACCTTGAAAAAATGAAAACTTAATAACAGATTCAAAAAGACTATCACAGTTTAATACTGATGCTTTAAAAGATGCAAATAAAATTGACCAGATTAAAAACATTACAAAAGTATAAGCCTATCTGATGTTTCAACATACACATTACCTAAAACGGTAAATGTAGAATTTAAAAACAGCGTAGGAAGCGACGGCCCTAACAGGCAGTGGAAGATTATTCCAAAGCCTGGGAGCACAGGTTTGAAATGCCCTGTCACCATAGTACTTAATTATTTCCCACAATATGCCAATACAAGGTCAAATTACCTTGGGCGTTTGAACGAAGGCAACGTCCGAAGTCGCCAACGTAGGGTAGTTCTTCTAAATATGCGTGAGCCGTACCTTGTAAAATCTTACAGATCAAACAGAGAATTTTATATTCATTTCGCTGTTTGGCCAGAAGCCAGCGTAGCTCCACCACTGAGGTGATATTGTCAAACTTGTTGATTCTAGTAACTAAACGAGCTGCTAATTTTTCTGCTAGTAGAAGACCGTAAGCAAGCATTAAAAGCAGGCTTAATCCCAGACAGAAAAGTTGCTGACATTTCAGTGCCGACAAAGCAATCGCGTGTGGCAGTTGTCACTTGCAGTAGTAAGCACAACTCAGCACTAACTGTTAGGTTATGAAATTCAACCCAGCCTGGAATAATAACTCAGTCGGTAACGAGACTTGCTTCAATCCACCAGGTGAAGGAGCAGCAGTTGATGGGCATGCAGAAGGCCGTCAACGAGGCCAAGTCCAAGAAGGCCGAGGCCGACTTTGAGCTGGACACCCAGGTCAGGAAGCGGGACAGCGCCAGGGCCAAGCTGGAGAAGGCCCGGACCGACCTGGAGAATGCCACTGCCACCCTGGCCGAACGCAAGAGGTGAGCTGAGTATGAAAAGGATGCTATAAATATGTTCCAAGTTCATGGAGCTGCTAAGCACAAACAGTAATCGGTTAGCAGAAACAGGTTACCAGCCCAAATGGCATGCATTGTGTATGTCTTGCGACTGGTGCCCAACTGATTTGTGCTTAGAGCATAAATTTGCTGAGCAGTGTTAGTCCGGATTCTCAAAAAAATTATGTCTGATATATCACACGGTATGGGTCTGGATTTGCTTGGAAATTCTGATGTATGTCCCACTAGTTTCCTTCATACTGCAGGATTTAGGTCGTTTTTGGAAAATGTTAATGGAGATAGTTGAAAACAGCCTGGCTTTTGTCTCACCCTAAGCTCCATCAAGGAACTGGAGCGCCGGATCCCTGATCTCCAGAAGCAGCTGCCCAAGGCCCAGGGTGAGCTGACTGCTGCCAAGCAGTCGGAGGCCCAGGCCTCCCAGGAACTGCACGCCCTGGTCAGCAAGGTGGAGGAGGCCCGCAGCTCCCTGCAGTCGGCTCGGGACCGGGGGGCGGTCCTGGAGGGGCTGATGGAGCAGGCCCGACGAGGCAGAATCCCAGGCATCTACGGCAGACTGGTGAGCACATTCTGCACAAATTGCACTGAGCGGGCCTAAGCCATTACCAAGTGGCTTCAACCAGGGTTCCTCATTGGCCGTGGAAATTCCTGGGAAAAAAGGTGTCCCGGAAAGTCATGGAAAATTAGGAAATTAGTAAGGTGGCCTGGAATCCTGTTGTCAGAGGAAAAAAAAGTCTTGGAAAAGTCATGGAAAATTGGGAAATTAGTAAGGTGGCCTGGAATTCTGTTGTCAGAGGGGAAAAAAATCATGGAAAATTGGGAAATTAGTAAGGTGGCCTGGAATTCTGTTGTCAGAGGGGAAAAAAGTCTTGGAAAAGTCATGGAAAATTAGTAAGGTGACCTGGAATCGTGTTGTCAGAGGGGAAAAAAGTCTTGGAAAAGTCATGGAAATCAAGATGATACAAGGGTTAGTTTTGATGGGCCACTTTTGACACGATAACAGAATAAGTATGAATAACGGGCTGTCCTTGTACCAGTGGCTGTGGCAATCAACCGGTGGTAATACCAAACTACTTTTCTCTTCAAAGTTATGTTGAATGTTGTGGAAATTTGTCATCTTTTAGTGCTATGAAAACTCCTGAGGGGGGGAAGGCATGGAATTTGCTTTTCAGATTTCTGTGGGACCCTTTTTAACTCTTCCACTGTTCGGACAGACACTGACAGTCACATTTAATAAGTGCCTTGGCTGACAGGACAGGCCTTGGGAAATGATAGCTTCCACACGGTATGTGCAGGACTCTATCAAGTAACGCAAACTCTCTTGGCAAGCCAATCAATCTTAGACACCTCTACAGCCCATGCAGATTGGGTTTTCTGGCCCTGCCCGACTCCGTGGGTTTTCCAAGAAATATTTATCCTGCAACATCAAAACCAACATTTCTTCATAATCCCCTCCCCCGTTGGCACCTAGGAGCATATTTTGAACCGAGAGGTTATAAAACCCTTGTTAAGGAAGAATGAAAACAGTTTTCAAGATGGATAACGAGACACTTGCTTTTGTGCCACTTTGTTTGATACTTGACTATGGTAAAGTAAAGTTAAAGGTTTTCCGTTTTTAGCTCCTTGTAAAACCAGTCTCATTTCAAATGTATTACTTAAACACCTCTGTCTACTTCAAAGTGAATTTTCTTCTTCTTGAGCTTTCTTCTGGAGCTCTACGTTGCCCCAGAATAAATTTCTCTCTCTGAAAATTTAGATTCTAAAAAATTAAGATAATTACAATATTTTTTACCTGTGGTCCAAAGGGGGATTTGGGAGCCATCGATGACAAGTATGACGTCGCCATCTCCACTGCCTGCGGTGCGCTGGACAACATCGTGGTGGACACCATCGAAACGGCTGAGAAATGTGTCAAGTTCCTGAGGGATAACAACGTGGGCGTGGCCACTTTCATTGCAATGGATAAGGTACCAGGCAGATATTCTCCCAGATGACGTCCCATTCGAGTCACGTCAGCTGGTGGAAGAAATTTTCGCTGCCGTACCCAAAAGGACGCAATTTTTAGACAGAGTTTGGGAATTCTCTTTCGTTATGTTTCGCAAAGTTTGAAGTCTCATTAGAAACAAGGTTCAAGAGTTTCGGTTGTCTTTTTTACTACTTGAATGCAAAATGCGAGAAACCTGCTCTGTGAAATGAGATCCAAGGTCACCTACTCCGAGATTGGACAATGTCAGAGTCCTCCCCTGGCAGCCACCAAAGGATCTGACAATCAAAACAAACCAGGGGCTCGGCCCAGTTTTGTATACTGACAGTACCACCGTTACCCTGCCAAGTGCAAGAAAGCCTGACATGGGCCGTGTCCAAGTTACATGGCTACACCGTTCCATGGTACCGGCCACAGCCACATTATTCGGACAGGACCATATTGGTGCATTTCAATGACACCCTGCCTCAAAGAATTAACTCATGATTCCAGATTTATACTGGGTCTAGCGTTCTGGTCTTTTACATTTGGCACGTCTTTCTTTTAACTTTCAGATGGAAGAGCGAGCTCGGAGTGCAAAAGAGAAGTTCACAGCGTGAGTGTCCTTGTCATATGAGAGTCACTTGAAAATTATTCATTTATTGTAGAGGTAGTGAGAGGCAGAGGATGTCACAAGAAAATTCAGATAAAAATTTGTCAGAGCTGAGAATTTCTGATGGTACTTGAATTCTTCAGTTTAATTTAACCAAACTGCCCCAGAAATTTTGGCAGGGGATGTCCTTGAATTCTAGACCCACCACTTTGCAGCAGTCAAACCCTACATGTTTGGTACCTTAATGTTTAAGGAGCAGGAGGCCCAGTGCAAAGTTAAATGGCTGGTCTCTACATGCACTCGCCCCGCTCTCTGCACAGTCTTCGAAAATCCGGTGAAACTTTGAAGGATTTTAGAGGCACTTTCTCTAAGTGTCTTGAATCGAGACTCACGGCATTCCACAAGCAGCCAATCCAACAAAAATAAAATGTTGTCCCATTTTCCTCTGTGCCAACACTTTGCCCAACAGCCCGGAGAACGTTCCCCGCCTGTACGACCTGGTGCGCATGAAGGACGCCAAGTTTGCCGGGGCCTTCTACTACGCGCTGGGCAACACCCTGGTGGCCAAGGACCTGGACCAGGCCACGCGGATCGGCCTACAGGGCAGCAAGCGCCACCGCGTGGTCACATTGAACGGACAGCTGATAGAGGCCACAGGTAACTTCCGTGGAGCTATGGGGGGAATTGTGCTACTTGAACTCTTCTCTGTATCATTGGCTGGCACGGTTACGTGTAGTTTGAAGGGTCCTAACAATCAGGTTTTCTTGTTCGTGCTTGATGCTGCTCTTCTTTGCATAAAGACTATTGAATCAGTAATCATTTACTTGAATATTTAATTTCAAAAACAACTTTTCAGAGGTGAAAAATCAATGGAATAAAAGTAGGACAATTGAGCTATTTCATTGTAAAATATCATTCTACAAGCATGTATTTGAAAGTGGTTTGAGTAACTCAGAAACAGCCTAACTACTGGCTGAAAAATTACTTTTCTTTCAAGTTGATGTTTTACTTTTTGTGTTGTTTGTTTCTGCATCTGTGGGGATTCGGTACGACCAAATACTTAAATATTGGATCAACCAGAAGGTTGACTGTTCTCATATTCAATATGGGTGATTCACAATGTCATGTGACCAAGAGGTTGTTATGGAGATGCCAACTTTGCACATGGCATTATAATGCCGTCTGTACATGGGGAACCAATATCAATTTTAATCCACCCTTTCTCCTGTCCATTGCATTTTTTGTTAGTATTTTAGAGCAAAAATATTTATTGTTTTATTTTCTTTTCTTTTTGCCTACCTTTTAACACTTTGTGACGTTTTCGTTTAGTTTTGCGCTCGCATTAAAGTTTCCTGACCACTTCGCTTGTGAGTCAGGCAAAAGAAAGATCTATGATTGGAACTAACTTGGCCCTCAATACATATTTCCAGGCACAATGAGCGGCGGAGGCAAACAGGTGGCCAAGGGACGCATGGGCTGCGCCATGGTGGTGGACGTCACGCCCGAGCAGTTTGCCGCCATGGAGCGGGAGCTGGAGGCCAAGCGGGCCGCCACGGCCGAGTGCCGGGACCGGCTGCGGGGGCTGGAGCAAGGCGCCCACGAGCTGGAGAAGGAGCTGAACGAGGCCAAGGTGACGCTGAAGAAGCACAACATGGACATCAAGGTACGATCGCACCCAGTCTGACATTAAGAGCTAGTCCTCTCGGTCCAAAAGCCTCATGCTTGTATTGGACCTAGACCTGGAATCGCCATGCCGACACGGCCTCATAATGAGACCAAGCTCTCAAGGAACTCAATGTAGACATTTCGATTTGGGTCACTCCATGTGGTTGGGGCACAATTTGTGACGGTGTCATTTGTTACATGGGCTCCATAAAAATGAACAGCTATTTCCCTGCAGGTGGATTCCAAATTGACATCGTTACACATCTTGCAGGGTTGAATACAGAGGTGTGTGCTATCTCTACAGAGTGGTAAATATTTTGGATGTAACAAGGACACCGTCGCAAATTGCGCCCCAACCTCATGGAATGGCCCCTTTCAAGACCTTATCCAAAAAGTCTGAACTTGTGGCCCAGTTCAGCATTGTTTTTGTCCAACTCGCCGCCGGTTCATAATTCAGTCAAAGCATAGTAAATTTGACCTCACAGAACATTTGCAGGGAAATTCCTGACACTTAAGGAAACTCACAGGGTTTAAAAGGCCAAGTCCAGATGGTACTGTTCGGAGCCACAATCTGCAGAGGGGTTGAGACTTGTCACAATAAGGATACTATGCCAGAACCCCGCTTCCCCCCCCGCCCGGGTCAACTGGGGTGCAGACCGTTGTAACGAGACAACATTGACCACGGACCAGGAGGGGAGGACCGGATTTGCCCGCATTGTCGATCTAGGTCTCGGCTTAGAAAGCCCACCACCACTGAAGATGCATGTGAACTACTTTTGTGCATGAAAGTTAACACCCACCTGCAAGTAGTGCATGAGGGATAGAATACACATGAACATTTTGTGGTTACCACTTGAGCCTCGGTGCGCAGTAAATCAAAGCGTGCCGAGGCAACCCACTGTCCGTGCTTCACCCTAACTACCAGGGCCCTAACCTACCATACTCCCAACAGTAGGTTTTGTGAGGTTTTGGCAGGTTTGGCACGGTACCTGATGAACTTGTTGAACTTTGTGAGACTAGGGATGAAAGGCCCAGGGAGATGATGTTGTTGAATTCTGTGTGAGTTGGGACACACAGGGTTGCTGTACCAATTGTTGGACTATGCTTGATTTTGTCAGGTTTGGTACTGTTCAGTGCAAGTCATCCTATACTGCATAGACCCATCCATGTCACATCACTCAAACTCCTACGGGCATACTCTGTTGGAGTTCACCAGCTCTGGTACAGTGACCTGCATTGTACCGTTACATAGACAAGTACATGAGCCTGTTGGATTTTGTGGGGTTCAGTATGCTTTCTAGTGCAGGAGCCTAGGGGGTTGGGGTTCATGGGGGTTTAATTGGCTTTTGCCCATGCTTACCCTTGAAGGCTAAGGCCGAGCAGGAAGTGACACTGAGAGACCAGATAAAGGAGCTTGAGGCGGAATACAAAAACTCGGTCAAAGACGTCGACATGGACGCACTGGAGAAGAACGCTGCCAAATACACCAAGGGTAAGTCAAGCCGTTGAGCCCATCAAATGAGAGCAATCTCCAAACTCAGACGGGACAAGTTGCAAAAATTGTTGCTGGTGCAGGTTACAGGATTCTCAACGACTTCCCTACAGTCCTAGCTCTATGAAGCAGTCAGTTTCTTGACTCCTTGGGCCAGGCTGGCCACTCAAGGACACCCAAAGTTCTCTTTATACTGTGCTTCTGTACCTTAACCCTCCTATGCTGAAGTCACTCTTTGGGTCACTTGGCAAACACCTCAACGAAGCACAGCTGTGTCATGTTGTGCACTGCACCAACGTGCAAGAGAGTGACCTTGGGCACTTGTGCATATTTGTGCTGTAAAACTAAACGAGGGTAAATGGATCAAAATGGAATTGCAGGATTGAGGCCTTGTTCAGCATCTTCTAACCATGCCCTCTGGTCAACAACAGGGAAGAAAAGGAACATTTTCGCTGGTGTTTTTTTCCTCCAGAGTACAACAAAGTGGCCGATGCCGCCGCCAAGGTGGAGGCAGAGGTGAAGGCCCTCCACGACCGGATCATGGAGATAGGCAGCGCTAAGATGAAGTCCCAGCAGGCCAAGCTGGACAAGGTGACCAAGGAGATCGACGAGACCACGGCCGGCATCACCAAGGCCAAGGTGGCCATCAAGAATGCCAAAAGGTAGGCCAGCCACGGTCAATTCTTGGCCCTTGTCCATGTTAGATTGATAAAGGTTTTCATTGAGCTAGGAGAGATGCTGCTACAGATTTCAAATGCTGAACAGGAAAATGGTGGTGAACCCTGACCGCTAAGGTTTTTTAGTGGTTGCCAGCGAGCAATTTCATATTTAAACATATGACTGAATTAAGTCGCCTTTCTACAGAAGCGTTTTTAGAGTGTTTTGTGGTCCGTACATGAAAGTTGTGGAGATTGTTCCTTGAAACTGTACGGAGGAAAAAAATTTCACATATAGAAAGGCAGCCTAACCCCAAGGCCAGACTGAATGGGTACTTTTGATGTTCGCGAACTCCTCTTTCCCTTCCGTTAATCTTAGTCTCTGAGCGCTATCTGATAAGACGATGCTCATCGCAATGTCACTGGTTTCCTTCTTCATCTCAGGAACATCAAGCGGGCAGAGGAGAGCGTCGAGACGATGGAGAAGGAGGAGAAAGAGAACGCCGAGACGATGCGGAAGATTGAAGTAGAGTTCAAACGACTCGAAGACGACGCCACAAGAGTGAGACGGCACATATCGCAGCAAACCATCTCCGATGCTATTACAATGTCCCCCGTTGTCCTGCACTCTCAATTCCCAGTAAGAGATTACAGTTGTCCCTGTATTGACCTGACCTTTTGTTATTTTACATTGCCCAGGTCTTGGAGGCATTCCGCGAGGCCGAGATGCAGATGAAGGACATGGAGGGGCAGCTGGAGAAGAGCAAAGGTCAGTCCACAGCAGCTGAATCCGTTAGATCAACTGATACGCTCAGGTTGAATTGAAACTTAACTATCATATTCACAACTGATGTGCTTTATATGCATGCCAAGTTTCAACGAGATTGGTCGTAGGACAGAAGAGGCCCCTGGATGGGGGCCTGAAATTCAGTTTGCCAAGTTGAGATGCCACCAAGTACCCTTCACCACAGTCTGGCGTTGTCTTTATTTTTTTCGGTCTGCAATCCTGTCTGGCCTCGCAGTGGAGCTTGAGAAGCTGCAACAGGAAGAGGCGGAGATCAAGAAGCGGCAGGTGGAGGTCAAGCACGAGCTGGAGAAGTACGACTCGCTGGTCAAGGAGAACCAGCAGAAGGGCAAACACTGGAAGAAAGAGGTGGGCAGGGAACCAGTGAAGCCTTAAGCCATGTTGAAAAATGACCATTTGCGGCCGAGAGTTAACACACTCCCCTATGAGAAGTTGCTTGCAATTGCCACCCGGCAGCTTCCATAGGCGCATGCTATTCCAAGCCTTAGCCAAAGGAATTAAGACATAGCCTCAGGCTTTTTATGGGGTGGGGGAGATCCATTCTTATTTGTCTGTCCTATTTTCTATTTTTTGGACCAGCTGGGCAAGCTTGAACTCCACGCTCTGGTGGGCGAGACTCCGGAAACCCTAGAGGCACTGAGCGAGGAGCAGCTGGCCGGCATTGACACGGAGGAGGTGCAGTACGAGATCACAGTCTGCGAGGAGCAGCTGGCCAAGATGAGCCCCAACCTGGCCGCCATACAGCAATACAAGAAAAAGGTTGGCAATATCAGATATATGCAGGAGGCCTATCTGGAGCAGGTGGTAGAGTATGAACCCTCCAAGGAGATCAGTCAATAGTTGGGCATTCTTTTTTTCCCGTCTACCCCTGAGGGAAAATATAATGCACAATGGCTCACTGTTGGTGACTAGTTTGACTGTCACACTGTGATGCAGTCAATATTTGTATATTTCCCTGTCATATGCCTTTGGTCTGCTACACATGGACTGGTATATGCAAGAAGCCTGTTTGGCCCAGGAAGTGGCGTTCAAGCCCGAGATGGGGACTAGTTTAGCTATTACACCGTGAAGCAGTCAATATTGGTATATTACTCTGTCATTTCCTTATATCTGGATTCATTTACAGGAGGAGGCCTATCTGGCCCGGGTGGCAGAGTACGACGCCCTGACCGAGACCCGCAATGCCCAGCGCCGGGCCCTGGAGGACATGCGCAAGCAGCGGCTGGACATGTTCATGAGGGGCTTCGGCTCCATCAACGAGTACCTGAAGGAGATGTACCAGATGATCACACTGGGCGGGGACGCCGAGCTGGAGCTGGTGGACAGCCTGGACCCTTTCTCCGAGGGTATCGTCTTCAGGTCGGTCCCCAGAATTTCTGCCTGTAATGATGGTCCTCTAGAGATTCGTCCTTGGGGATGCCAGTTTTCAAGCCAAAGCCTGATGTCAGGTGTTTCATGAAAGCCAATTTGTTGAACCAATTTCAGGCCCTAACTCAGTGTATATCGGCTTCTCTGGCCCTTTTGGCGGGGGGGGCTCTGAAGCAGAGACAAACATCACTGTGTCCCTCAGGCCACACTTTTTTTTTACAGATCCATTTTTGTGCAATTTTTAATTAGAAATTTCAATGTTAACTTAAAAGGAAGGAATGAAATTTACCATTCACAATTCAAAATATAGCCAGACAGGTGTAAATAATTCTAGAAATTTCTGAGGCTTGTAGCCAATTTCCACATACGCCAACCGATTCAGACCGTCATTCAGAAGTGAATGTTATTATTTATTCTGCGCTCAGACATTGCCTCCTTTCAAAACAGATTCACACTGAAAACAAGCAGGCACGAGGGCAGTCTCTACTTTTTTAATCCCCAGCAGCTGGAAATGTTGCAGGCACCAATAAGGGACGTTAGTCAGAAGCCCTTTAAACCTGAAATACCGTAAACAAGTAGCCAGGGACCATGCCCCACAGAACACAATCCAGGCAAAGTTGCAAACCTACCAAGTGGTCCAGATCCAATTATAGTCTCATTTTAAACTATTACCCCCTTTTTTTGGGCAGCGTTCGACCCCCTAAGAAGAGCTGGAAGAACATCTGCAACCTGTCGGGCGGGGAGAAGACGCTGAGCTCCCTGTCGCTGGTCTTTGCCCTGCACCAGTTCAAGCCCAACCCGCTGTACGTCATGGACGAGATAGACGCCGCCCTGGACTTCAAGAACGTCTCCATCGTGGGGCACTACATCAAGGTGCGAACCCGGCTCACATCACATGGGCAGTGTGATGCAGAACGCAACTTTCTTTACATGTCACGTTAAAAACTGAATTTCAATCCTGAACTTTACACTTGCAGGCATTCCTGTCATGAATCAAAGGCGTCAATGCAGGGGGTCGTATTTCATGGTATTTGACCTAGGCTTGGATGGTATTTTGGTATTACCAAAATGTAGCAGTATTCTTTTAATACCGAAAGATACCGACTGGTGATCCATAATTACCAAAATATCAGTAAATACGATATGGAGTTTCAATACTATGGTATTTTTGCTATTATGCTTTGAAAAAAGAGGACAACCACCATATAGTCGTATTCCACTCCATCTTTTATGGTACAAGTCATCCAGTGTCTACATCGTCACTTAGACCTAATAACATGGAACTTGAACCACTGCCAACTCGCCAGCCCAAAGCCTTTGAAGTTTTTTATTGTTCGCCCTCGTCATTGTGTTTGTGGTTTTGATCCAAGTGAAAGTCAGAAGTAGTTGTTGGCATTAGCAGTGAATGTCGCTGCTTATCGCCGCTGCTTTTTGATGACGAACACTCAATACCCCACTTAAAAGAATATCGCGGTATTAACGAATATTGCGGTATTTTTATCACGAATATCGCAGTATTAAAATGCAATACTGTCTAAGACCAATTTGACCCAACATTTCCAGATGTTTAGAGTTGTAACCATTCCACTTTTCAGTGTTGTTGTCGAGACCATTCACAAGACCAGTCACACGTAGCAGAGTGAACAGTGACAAAGGAATGCTTTTGTTGCAGTTCATTTGAATAGCTTGTGGCTTGAATTCAGACTGGAGGTCTGGTGTTGGCCTTGTGCCGGTCTTGTATTGGTCTTGTGCCGGTCTTGTATTGGTCTTGTATTGGTCTTGTGCGGGTCTTGTATTGGTCTTGTGCCGGTCTTGTATTGGTCTTGTGCCAGTCTTGTATTGGTCTTGTGCCGGTCTCGTATTGGTCTTGTGCCGGTCTTGTGCCTGTCTTGTATTGGTCTTGTGCCGGTCTC